CTGCAGCTGAGGTCTTAAGTACAAAGACTGAGCGCACAGGAACTATCCCATGTCTACCTGCTGCTTTATTTCTCAACAGCTTCCTCTAATAAAGCTAGTGCTGGTCATTCTTGGGTTGAAAACTGGTACAGATGCCCTCAAGTCAGATCCAAACTGTCGATGCTTTCTCTCAGAGAGAGCAAAAAGCAGCGCCTCTTCCCCAATATCTAACAGGACGTGTCTCCCTTGCTTACCTTCTACCACCTTGTGATAAGCAAAGTGCAGATAGAGGAGGAAAAGCATATGCAGAGCAGCAAGGGTCCCACACAGGATGAGCCGCTGGGTGTGCCCCACGGTGCGTGACACCAACACAGCAACCTAGGAGAGAGGTGGAGATTAGAGACAAGGCAGCTGCTACCTGAGCCTCTGGCACTGAGAAGTCAGGAGCATGCAGGAGGATGGGCCAAGTAGCAAGAGCCAGTGTGAACACTGCTCAGAGCCTTTTTCACAGTTTGCACCAAGAGATTCAGAGTAATCTGACTTTGTTTTGAGGAGGTGAACATTGTCCAGTCCCACCAAGTGTTCAGGATGCTCTGGTATGACTCTCCACAGCAGCAAGGGCTGTAAGGGAGTAAATCTCCTGCAGCTGTTAGAATGGGTGAAGATATTCATCCAAGTGTCACCTCCATGAACCAGGGGCCAAAGGATGCAGAAGCATCAGGCTGTTCTTCACAGCAGCCTGACTGGCTGTGAAATGAACTGCCAGGTTCAAGGAACAGAAAGCAAACAACGCTCCCCTCTCTTTTTTGTCCTCAGAATAGGAGGTCCCCAGGCTGCCCATCCCTTACCATTCGTAGTGTAGAGAGTCCTCCGACACCCAGCCAGCAGATATAGAAGAGGGAGTGGAAGTGTATATTATAGGTGACAAAGAGAGTGATGCAGTGTCCAAAAAGACCATAGCCCTGACAAAACAAAATGTTAGGAGCATCAGTCCCACGCACAGGGCTGCTGATCCAGAGCATGAGCAGCCTATTCCTGCAACGTGTCACCAAGGCACAGCTTCATAAACCACATGTTTAACACCAAAGAGTCAACCAGCACAATTTTAACAACAGCTCGCACCCAGATAATGTCTGAAGGATTCACAGGGATGTCACAGATTGCAACAGCTTGGGAAACAGAGGAAAGAGTCTCTGATCCCAGAGAAATTGTAATCTAGTTTTCTACCACCAGGTGCTCAGTTCAGGAAGTGCAAAGCAGGAGACCTGCACAAAGGAACCAACTCTTTGCGCCGTGTTATGCCTGGTATAGGGCAGGAGACCATCCTGGAATTCCAGGCTGTCCCAGTGCAGTTACCACTGATTTACAAGGACTTTTCCTGTTCTCTGGGAAGAGCTTGTACAGGAACACCGTGCCACCAGCCCGCATCTTGGGGCGGGTCCCTCTATACATACCAACAGTGACAGCATCTGCACCATCGTGATTTGAGCGTTGCACAGATAGGCCAGGAAATAGAGGAAAGAGGAGACGCCCAACCAGTAACCGAAGCAGGTGCCAATGGCCGTGCCCATCAGTGTGCCTTCCCTCTGTGGAGACAGCATCAGGATGAGGAGGACTCAAGGAAGTGACCTGCCAGCACCCAAATTCCACCTCAGAGAGTCCCAGAGCCTTTTTAGGCATTATCGAGTAGCTGGCTAGCAGTGTTTAGGGTGCCACATGAGCTACACCCCAGCTCTCCCAGCAGTAGGGCATCAGGCTTTTCTCATGCATCCTTCCTCCCATCCCCAAACCAACAGGTTCTTCCTTAAATCAATGTGCTTTTCAACAAGATGCTGCTCAGTCATGGAAGAGGTATCCTCCCCATTTCTAGTGTCATTACAGCAGTCCAGAGCCCAGTCAAACCATAGCTTATCACTGAGACTTGACGTACAATGATGGTGTCTGAGGTCTTCATCCCATGCAAAAGGATGGCCACCAGTGTGAAAACCAGCATGAGGGGTCCATACAGCTCGCCTGCAATCTTCTACAGGAGAAGACAGAACAGGGAAGGTTTGGTTAGTGCTCCTGAGTGCCAGGCTCCCCCTCCCAAGTAATGTGAGAAATGCCTTGGATGAAGTTTATCACTTAGCCACCTGAGAAGTAACAGCAAGGCCACTGCTGATGTGAGCCAAGCAGAACAAGTTGTGTGATGTGGATCCTGGGATGTGTTAAGTCTAGAGATCTAGAACTGTACCAGCATGAAAGCACTGAGGTTTGGAACAACCACGGGAAAGGGTTTACCTGCATTTTCAGGGAGCTGAACACATAACAAACCCAGGTTCTTAATAACATGGACTACTTGAGTTTTACAAGGTCTCTATGATGTTCACTTGGCCATGGAGTCTGATTCAGCAAAAGGGAACTCACCTGTGGGAAGTTAATCATCTTCACAGGAATCATGGACTCCAGCAGTCTGCATCATAGCAAAGCAGGGAATGACGTCAGGAGCAAGGAGGACAACAGGATGTTAACAAAATATTTTAAAAGTAACAGGTCCCATACAACCAATACCAGTGTTTTCTGCGGTGGTCACAGGATTTGGGGGGCAGAGATTCTTTCTAACAGGCCACATAAGGTAACTAGAGGAGAAGAACCTTACTCCCAGTGGGTTAGCTTTGCTGGGTGGGATTCAGGGAAGATGTTTAGGGATCCACCGAGGAACAAGAGATCACTGACAGAACAGCAAGAAGGAAAAGCACCTTTCTTCATCCACCCTCACAAAACTTTGCCTTTTGGGACACAGCTGTGTTGCACATCCAACAGAAGCCAGAAAAAACCAGCCGAGTACCAAAAGACTGAAGATACCGCTAAGCCCTTTTTTCTGCCCTGAGCAGCAGTGCCGAGTGACAGGTGACAGGGCTGCCAGCCTTGCTGGGGGACCTCGTTAAAGCGAGCAGGCCAGAGCACGGTGTGTTTCCCCGCACCCGCGCCTTCCCCCCGAGGCTGGCCGCTCGCTGG